CTGGAGTAAAATCATTAAACTTGTTGGATGGTTTGGCTCTTCCGTCCATAAGATCTTCGACGACTCCGATTTCAGGTCACTCTCTCTTCTCTCTTTTATTCTCAGATTTTCCAGTCTGAATATATATGGATATGAAAAACACGGATCATCCATTCACAATGCGATGCTAATGATATTATCATCTACGAGCGTTGGTGTCACCATTATTTTTTTTAAATTTTATAATGATGATATTACAAGTTTTTTGTGCTTCCCCCGATACATTATACGGGAGAAAAAAGATCATGAAAATCTGTTTGCTTTTTAATAAAAAAATAAACACGTTGCTTTCAGAATGCATGATTATTCCAAACCAAATACCACGGTACAGCTTTTCTTCCACTTGGGCCAATGATTTTATTTTATTAATGATGATAATATCCATCGCCGATTTCGTACTATTCATAAGCCTCATGGTCTTCTCGTGGGAATCTCAGCGTACAGAAATTACATAACACACATAAATCTGCCGAGCACCGAGAAAACAGCTGTATATTTCCAGGACAGCATCACAAGTCAATACGCTTTTGTCCGAAACATTATAAAATTATCCTCTGCATTTCTTGTTTTCTCCGTTGCAACAAATATAAAACTAGGCTGATTCATATAGGCTTAGACAAGGTTATATAACATCAAACTAGGCTGATTCATATTGTCGTTATTGGTACGGATATTGGGCTTTATGAATGCAGAAACGTGCTGAAAGCGACCATAGATGTTCCAGTGACGGGGGAAGTGGAGTTCCACTGCACACATCTTGATCACTTGGATGAAAACTGGAGGATGAAGCAGATTGATGCTATCATCCGATCCAGCAATGGAGTTCCTCACATCCTCGCCGGTGCTCTTAATTCTCTCGACGAAACCGACTATTCTCCCGAGAGATGGACTGACATCGTCAAGGTATATATAATAAATCAAATCCTAGCATGGCCAGCTATAACGCGATGATTTGATACTCATTATTAACATAGATATATATATCATATATGCATCATTCGATAGCCGATATATAATTTGATTGATCTTCTGCCTCGTTTTGTATAGTACTATGAGGAGATGGGTAAGCCAGTGCCGAGAGCTGAAGTGATGAGATTCTTAAAGAGCAAAGAGTACACAGACGCTAAGGATTATGCAGGAGAGTGTGAATCGGTAGTTGTGGTGGCAAAAGGCCAAAGTAAGAACTCTCCTAAACATATAATTAAACAAATGGTTAGGAGTCCCTTTTGCATTGACGAGACGACGTCGTGGTACGTAGGTGTGCAGGGGACGTGCAAATACGGGACAAGAGTGGACTACATAATGGCCTCGCCCGAGTCTCCGTACGAGTTCGTGCCCGGGTCGTACTCGGTCTTGTCCTCAAAAGGAACCTCCGATCATCACGTCGTTAAGGTCGATCTCCTCAAATCCGTAAGAAACGTCGAACACACAGATGGTAACGTCCGGCAGAGAAATCACGGTCAACAAAGAGTTGTGAAGATTAAGGCTGACGACTCTTCTCCCGCAAAGGGCATATGGAGGACCTAATTAATCAAATTGTTAAATTTCGTTGCAGATTTCTTAGTTCATTTATAGACCATTGTTTCCAATTTTCCACGTGTTCCAGCATTCATGTCGTGCCTGTATATATATATATATATTTTCCATAGATTGGTTTGGTTCTGACGAATAATAATAATAATGTAGAGAGAAGAGTTGCGTAGTTTGTGTATGAAGAAGCATGCCCAATTATATCATTTGGGAATTTTCTATTAAATCTAATTAAGATTTACCATATAAAAGGCCGGAAATTAAGGGTTTTTCTAAAGTCGACGAGCTCTGGCTTAGAAAACGAGTTTCTTCATCATATTTTGCCTCGGGCTTCGAAATTTATCGTTTTGGGCGAAGATAACTTGATACCTAAGCAACTGGTGAGTTTTGCGTTTTGGTTGAGATTCGATTTTTTGTCTTTGACCGTTCAACAGAGGCCAACACATAACCTTCTGTGAGAAGAAGAGGGTCTGAATATCTCTGCTTTTGCTTATTGTCCACGATAACGAACCCGCCGAAAAGTTCTCCCTTTCTTTCTCGAGAAAATATCGGAGTCTCAGTTGTTTGTATGGTGTAGTTCTTGCTCCTCTTGACTTCTGATGATCACAGTTCCTACTCTGAGCCCTTCTCTTCCACGATCCATGACCAGCTGCCGTCCCTCGACGGCGACCCTAGCCATCTCCAGCCCTCCTTCGCTCTTCACCCTCCTCAGGCGAAATCTGGGACGTCCATTGCTGTGTAGCGTCGTCAGATATGGTGGGAAATCTTCCTTTCTGGTCGCAGTTCTCTCCCCCCCCCCCCCCCGCCATTGTTGATCTCCAGCGTGTACCTAACGGCGGCGCTAACGGCCCCCACGGCGTTAGCTGGGGCCCAAGATAGAAAGTGTATCTTCTCCCCACAAAGAATCCTTCAAGATTGAGTCCAGAGACCCTTCGGCGTTCATCTCCATTGCTGGAATCAGAGTTCATGGAGAGAGTTTCGACGGCGAAATCGGAGAGAGAGGCAGCTCCAGGTGAACTCCATCGCCTACGATGAGAACGTGTCGGCCGCTGATCCTCCTCTGAATCCGACGGAGACTGCCCTTCGTCGGTGGATGGCGTCATAATTAACAGAGGCGCTCACGGTTTCCTTGGAGAATCCAAGAGAACTTTTTGCTATGTTGTACTCTCTCCAGAATCTCAAGAATTTCCCCTCTTTTCAAATTCGCCCACAATCTGTCAGCGAGATATAGATTTTGGTGGGTCCCAGTAGAGGGGGTCTGCCAGCGTGGCAGTTAGTCGTTAACATGGGAGGTAACGAATTATAACGGCCTTATACCAGACACCTTCTTCCGAATTTCCACTAATTATTTTTTATTTCAGACCCACCTTCCTGAATGAATGTGCGAATCATACATTTGCTAGATATATAATATGTAAAAACTAAAATCGGGCCTTTGACCTATCCGTTGACTGCGGCTTGGATCTGTTCCAATGTCTTCCCTTTGGTTTCAGGGACAATGGTGATCACGAACACTATCCCGAGAACGTTGATCGCTGCGTAGATGATAAACGTACCTGATAATCCACAGCGGTGAAGAAGAAAAGCCCAGAAATTTTCTATTAGCATCGAGATCCGACCGCAAGTATAGTTTCCGGGAAATTTTTCAGACAAGACATTTTCGGATTAAAAGGGGTAGCATTACCAAAGGAGTTCCAAGACATGAGGAAGTTGAAAGTGTAGGACACAGCCCAAGCGCCAAACCAGTTCACCAGTGTCGCCATGCCTCCTGCGACGCCTTTTATGTTTATGGGGAAGATCTGCAAAAGGCGATGACTTGTTATGTCTCTGAGATTGCTGTGAAAGTTTTGTGTTTTGAAGATTGGAGAATCATTGTTTTGTTTACCTCAGACATGACAACCCATGGCATTGCTCCTAATCCTGCGGAAAAGGAGCCTATATAACCCTGCTCCCATCAGAATCAGAGTTACATTCCTGATGTTAACAGAGACCATGTGAGGTAAGGTTTTTGCTTGATGGCTTACCAGTATCCCAACTACAGCGAGGATTGGAACTGCATCCGGTGCCATGCCGTGAACCTGTTCGGCGGAATGCCACCAACTTATAGATAGCCTGACCAAGAACGAAACCAGAAAGAGGAGAAAAGTTTCGAGATTTTCTTAGAATGATGGTTTCACCTTGAGATAGAACGAGACCGCTATGAGCAAACAACCAATGACTACTCCTGTGAGGGAAACCTGGCAGGCACAGAACACAGTTTAGTCATACAGTTGCGTGAATCTTCTGCAGAATTCAATTGATCCACAACAGCAGTTTTACCAGTAAAAGCGGCTTTCTTCCGGCTCTGTCAACTATTGGTGCATTAAGGGCTGTGATTACTACCTAAAAAAACAGAGAACAGAAGAGGTATGAGAGAACGAACTGCTACTTCATGCATCTTCTGGATTGGATAGGTGTATATATATATATATGGGCGGCAGCAACAATTCTTGAGCATAGAGCAATGGACCTGAAGAACAGCGTATATTATTGTTCCCGTTGTGGCGGGGAAACCTGAGATAAAGATGATGAATCAGATATTGGCGGCTGGCAAGACGTATAGTTCAAGAATCTATGTTACCTGCTTGCTCAAAGATGGAGCTGGCATAGAAACAAATTCCATTGATTCCTCCAAACTGCTGAAC